TGGTCAGCCAGAACACTGCCCACTCCATCATGTCCCAGGGAGGCCATTTCTCACATTTGGGGAGAGTTACCAAATATTGTACAGCATCGTTCAGGGGACAGACAGCAAAGCCCGGGTGCTTCTCCGGGTGTCTGTGTGACCTGTGTATGCGGCGGGGAGGCCCAGGAGATTCTCAGTGTCTGTCGGGAGACTGCCCGAGACCACAGCGTGCTCATTCGCTCAGCAATCGGTGCCCATGCCGGGCATCAGGTAAGGTGACAGAGACTGTCCCAGGGCATAGCAGTAAGCAGGCATGTGGTAGACTTTGCTTACAACAAGCCCACATCCCAGTGGGCGACAGGAAGACTTGGTATGTACACCACATGTGTTTCAACATGTACATATAACAGGCATGTGTTACCTTGTGAGGCCATTTTACAGACACCAAGATCTCCTCTGTCCCTCCCCTCACGCCCTAGTCCCTTCACTCAGTCCGGTACCAAAGGCCCCAGGCAGATAAGTAATCCCAACCCCCTTGGCGCCAGCTCATTCTGACTTCTCAAGAAGTTTAATTTTGCCAACAGCCAGAGGCAATGACGGCAGTGCTGGGGATCTGGCTGCCTGTGCCCTGCTCTGGGATAGGCAGCCCAGAAATAATTGCCTCTTTGAGTGTTTTATTGGAATGTGCACGTGCTTCCTGCTTGGGGGGGGGGCGGTCCCTCCCAGGGCGAGCTTCTTCGTGAGAGGAGTGAATTAGGCCTGTGAGGCTGGTGGGAGCTGCTTCCAGGACTGAGCGGCAATCAGACCTCAGGTACCTGTCCATCATTCATTTGCTTTCCTCCGAAATCACATTATTCAGGCAAGTAGATGGAGAGCAAGTGCAATCTGTTTGTCACCGGCGCCAAAGCTTCCCCATCTTGTGGTCATAAAGTTTCCCCCAAAGCCTCCTCAAACCACACACTGTGCTGACAGCATTTCACGGTGGCGCTGGCCGAGGACAGGTGGTCCTGAGCTCTGCCGGCTTCTTAATCCTGGGAGCAGCGTGCTTGCTGCTGTCCCTAGTGCAGGGTGCTTGGTAGAGAAACAGAATGCTAATGAGGATGGGTCCGCATTTTCCCAGCCTGGAAAGCAGTCAGATGGATCCTAATGCTGCTGCTGTGTCCTGGCTCTGCCCGTCAGACCTGTGGCTGTACCAAGATGGCTGCCGTCTGGGTGGCTGCTATCAAAGAACAAATGGGAGGAAAATGATTAAACCTGGCAGAGAGGCTTACCTGCTCCAGATCCAGTTGGAACTGCCCAAGGTTGGGAGACATCTGTCTCTAGGTTAACCTTGCCTCCTGGCCTCCCTGGGGTCCCAAGCCCTGACTCCTGACTCCTTGGGACTGGTCCCCTAGCCGAGGCATCAGACATGAGGAGATCTGTAATTCAGTTGGGATCCTCTGGAATTACAGACTGTTAAGTATAGTCTCACTAAAATAATTATCCTTCATCTAGGTGTACGATCTCTCTCAAATGACCACCCTCCGTGTAGGCTATGACACTGGGCTGAGAGACACACAGGACTAACTATTGGGTGGGTGCAGGGATCCATGAGTACTTAGGGATCTTTAGACATGGGGAATCCCTGTGGGAGCTGCCAGGAATTTCAGGTCTCCTGCAGACCCATAGGGGTACTGTGCAATGTCCTTTCTCTCCAGGCTCTGCTCCTTTGCAAAGAGCCTCGGCAATGAAACTATCCTTGGTTCCTTTTCTTTCTTTTTTTTTGGAGCTAAGATCAAACCCAGGGCCTTGCGCTTGCTCTACCACTGAGCTAAATACCCAACCCCAAAATGACACTTTTTTTGTTTTGTTTTTTTGAGACAGGGTTTCTCCGTATAGCTTTTCACCTTTCCTGGAGCTCACTTGGTAGCCCAGGCTGGCCTCGAACTCACAGAGATCCTCCTGGCTCTGCCTCCCGAGTGCTGGGATTAAAGGCATGCACCACCACTGCCCGGCTTCCTTGGTTCCTTTTCATTCCTTCGGTACTGGGCCAGTTCACTCTGCATTTCACCATGGTCTCAGAAGTTATCAGCTGTTATGGAATCTGTAAAATGAAGGTGATATATCCCCTAAAAGTTGGTGAGGAGTTAGACAGCAGACCTTTAAAATCTCATGTAGCTGGGTGTAGTGGCGTACACCTTTAATCCCAGCTAGGGATGGAAAAGCAGGTGGATCTCTGTGAGTTGGAGGCCAGCCTGGTCTCTGTAGTGAGTTCCAGGCCAGCCAGGGCTGTACAGTGAAACCCTGTTTCAAAACCAAACAAAAACCACCTCGTGTATCCAGCACATGGTCAGTGTTCAGAAAATGGCAGCTGCCAGAGACGGCGGTGATCACACATTTTTCTGGGGTCTTTATGCACGTCAGTCACCCCTAACAGATTGTGGACTCCTTAGAATAAGCCATTGCTACCCTGGTTGGCTCAGAGTAAGCATCCTGTTCGGGCTAATGAATCAACATTAGGATACCTCAAGTAATCCTAATTGGTCTTTGACGAGTGTTTCCCACAGATAAGGCATGGTTCCAAGCAGTTCCTGAGATTATTTCATTTCACCTTTGCACAAATCCTGCAAAGCAAGTGTTATCATCCCCATTACACAGATGAGTAGACTGATCAGGCCAGGCACCTTGCCCTGTCACAGAGGAAGGAATGGATGGAGACGGAGGCAGGGTTTCAGATCATCCTGACTCCAGGGTTTTCAGCCACCCGCCATCCTTGACTGCCTAGCATGGTCTGTGCTGTATGGTAATCTGCCGACCACCTGTCTCTCTCTCATCCCTGGCAACGGGAACTGGGTTTGGTTATTTCTGTAGGCCTTAACCCACACACAGATTCCAGCACCGAGGAGGCTCTGGTCAACGTAGGTAGGCAGATAAAGAAAGAAGACGGCGGCAGACAGTAGGGGCTAGGCCAGGGCAGCAGATCTCTTTGGGGGCCTGGGATGTGAGGCCAGAAGCAGGCAGAGAAGAATGGCGTCCCTAGGTTCTCATACCTTTCTAAAGGTTCCTGGCCATTTCCATCACCTTTAAGTGCAAGTGCACTTGAAAAGATGCTCCCTTGGGGACAGACACACTTAAACAAAAGGCAGTGGTACCTCTGTTCTCAAGAGACCAGGGAGGGCAGGGCCCCTCACTGCCAATCCCCCCGGACTCTAGATCAACCCTTACGGCCTGCCTGACCTCACTCAGAAGGGCTTGTAGCCCAGCAAAGAGAACCTGGCAGAGGTAAATCTCTCCTTTAAGTACATTGTCCTGACCTCTGTTCTCATTATTCTGTGAGCATCCTGAGGTGGGAACGGGATCCCATGAGCCATCTGCCCTCAGGGCTGTGGTTAAGGGTTCTTCTGCACAGCCCTGCTTCTTGAAGCCCACTTGGTGCTGGAGAATGGGGGGGGTGGTTAATTTCTATTTCTCAGAGTCTGGGCAGCTATTTTGACTGCTTCGCTGGAATATTATTTAATTCTGAGTTTCTTTTTCTCATTACACCTTGAAAATTAAAATCTCTCTGCCTTGGGCATGTGGTGGCTGGCTGAGGGACAGCATTGCCACCACACATTTCTTATTTAAGTCGGTTTGGAAATGCCAAGTGCTCTCTCTCAGGGCAGGTGACCGACACCAGTGTCCCTCTGTCCCGTGTTGTGGGTATTAATCGTCCGGTTATTGCTGTAGTCCTCACTGACCTGGCGTAATCACAGACTTAGCAGCACTCTGTGCTTGTAAAGCTCTTCCGTGAGCAATGATCCTCCCAGGAGCTCTGTGCGTAAGCAAAGCAGATGCCCACCCCCTTGGGGCTCGGTGCATCCCACTGTTGAGAGCTAGAAGGCTCTGAGGTCCCCAGGCGAGGGAAGTGAGTGTGGACCGTCAAAGCCTTGAGTGGGCCCCCTCCAGGGCCTCTTGCTTCAAACAAGGTAGCCCAGGCAGGATCTCAACTCACTGCTCCTAGGCATTGAACAGAGACCCCCTCCGAGCAGAATGGCCTCAGGCAGCAGCACCTGCTTACTTAGGACCCTCAGCTCCCCCATATTTAAAAGAGGGGTTTCCCCAAACTGTACAGAGACTCCACCAGAAAGCGGGCCCTGTTGCTTGGCTAGGGACTTGCTGTCCTCTGTTTCTTGGTTCACCTCCAGGTTTCCAGCTCTCTGTCCTCAGATGGCCACTGCTCTCCCTGTGTGAGCCATGCAGCTGTCCTGGTCCTGCTCTTCTTTCCTCCATGTACATCTCCCTCTGATTTGCTCCCAGCTCTCAGAGGAACATCTGGTCCCAGAAGAACATCCTCTCAGAGGGCCTGAGATGGCAGCCTGGTGGGAGGTGGCTTTGGGAGGACCACAGCAGAAAGCTGGATGAATCCCAGCACCCGTACTGAGAGACAGGGGTAGAGACCAGAGAAGCCCCAGAGGCCTAGAGGCCAGCTAGCCTGTCATACACAGTAGAAAACCAGCCTCACACAAGGTAGAAGAGCATGCAAAATCAACATCTAAGGCTGTCCTCTGACCTCCACATAAGCACTGTGGTCTGTGCTCAGGCAGATGCAGAAGCGCATGGACACACACAGATACAGATACACACACACACACATGCACACAGACACAGATACACACACACACACACACACACACACACACACACACTCATACTCACACAATTTAAAAAAAATTGCGGGGCTGGAGAGATGGCTCAGCAGTTTAAAGCACTAATTGTTCTTCAGAGGATCTGGGTTTAATTCCCAGCACCTACATGGCACTCTAAACATCCTGTAACTCCAATTCCAGGGCTTCTTACACCCTCACATAGACATACATGCAAGCAAAACACCAATGAACACAAAATAAAAATTAATTATATATTTAAAAAAAAATAGCAACAGGCCTTTCAACATTCTTTTTTCTCTTCTTTTTCTTCTCTGTTTCTGTCTCTCTCTGTCTCTCTGTCTCTGTCTCTGTCTATCTCTCTCTCTGTCTCTCTCTCACCATATAGGCCTGGCTGACCTTGAATTTATTATCCTCCTGCCTCAGCTCCTGAGTGCAGAGAGACAGAGTGCCTGTGGGACTTCTGAGATGCAGAAATGAAGGCTGCATCTACCACACGAGTGAGAAGCCTGGTGGGTATTCAGCAGCACAAAGCACATAACATCTGGTGGAAAGGATTCCCTGTCCCACTCCTGTCCCTGTCCCCAGCTCCCTGGAGGACCCGTGTCTTCCTACATTCTTGTGTCTCCTGAGTCTTGCCAGTGTCTGTCTATAGGAACCAAGGCCTAAGGCACCATGTGACCCGAAATCATCCCAGCAGCCTCCTGCTGCTCCTGATCTGAAGTGACAATCCACTTTCACCCCCTTCCTCTTGGAGAAGGGAGCTGAGGTCCGGGCTGTTCTTTCCATCACCCCCTCCACCCTGAGGGTGACCGTGTAACTTCAAATCTAACCCGAGCTGTCGTGATGGACAGTCCACAAAACCTGGGGCCTTCCAGAGGTGGCACAGGCCAGAGGGAGACATGAGATCAGGGGAGGTGAGTGAATACTTCTGAGAGGTGAAGGCTTTGGGTTGAAACTCAGATACCAAAAAATGTGCATTATTAAGACAGAGGAAATCGAAACCAGTGAGAAACAGATGGAGGTTCAAATTTCAGTTGTATTGAAAGCTGGGCAACCCCTGGAAACCTCAGTTTCCTCTCTTCCTTTCCACAGTGGTGGCTATACCATACTGATGTTGCAGAATTAAATAAAATAACACATACACACAGTGATAATTAAGATCTCTGACATATAGTAGGCATTTGGTAAATGCTGGCTGTTATTACTATCAGAGTCACTATAGTTGATGATGGTGATTATGCAGAAGCTTGAAGGGTGTGTGAGGCCTGGAGACCAGACTTCCACGTTTCTAGGACCATCCAACCACCGATCTAGGTGAGTCCTCCACAGGAAGTCAGTGCCTTCTAGGAGCGCAGCCCGGCCTTTCTGTCTGCTGTCGTTTGGTTGCCTCAGACATGGAAATAAAGGCTTTGATTTTGTTTATGCCTCTCACTTTGTGCCGGGAACAAACAGCATTTTGGGGAATTAAGAGTCTCAGAGACAGGGCGGAGTCCTTCTCACTGTCAGATAAAGGGGCCCCTGTTCTGATTTCCGTCAGTGACAAGAAATGGCCGCTCAGCCTGTCACTGAGCAGAAGGACCTGGCCAGAAGGAACAATGACTGGACAAGCGCCAAGGTACTGAGGGGGAGAACTGGGTCCCCAGAGAGAAAGCACAGCTCCCCAGTGAGTACCATCTTCTCCCCTGTGCTTTGCTCTTTTTTTTTCTTTCCACCTCCTTCTAGATCTCATTTCTGAGGAGGGTGGGACCAAGCTGAGACTCTGGGTTACCTAGGTGACAGACACTGAGCATTCCCTTATGAGGCAGCTGGTTTGTGGTGTTGGGCGTCCCTCTACAGCACTAGTTCCAGAGCCCCTAAATAAGATGTGGGGGGGGGACAGGGAAACAGAAGAGCAAGTGTAAGATCCCGAGAAGGGGGAGTCGTCCATAGCTGTCACTTTTACCTCCCCTACTTCTCACCTCCATTCTGGTTGCTGTTGCTGCTTTTTCTTGTATTTTTTGTTGTGTGTGTGCACATGATGTGTGTGCACATGTCCACGTGTGTGCCTGTTCATCCACATGAATATGCGTGCACAATGTGGAGGTCAGAGGACAAACTGTCTGTCACTCCTTGTCCCCCACCTGAGACAGGGTCTCCTGGTCGCTGGATGCCGAGTAAACCGTAGCTGGTCCACGAGCCTCCAAGGATTCTCCTGCCCCCGTCTCCCACTGCGTTGTCCGAGCACTGGGATTCCAGACGTGCGCTTCCACACCTGATTTCCACGGGTGCGTGAGCTCAGGTTCTCCCGCTTGCCTAGCCAGCACTGACCTGCTTAGCCATATTCCCAGTGCAGCCCTGCTTCTCTCTCTCTCTCTCTCTCTCTCTCTCTCTCTCTCTCTCTCTCTCT